TCGCGACTGAAATCGCGTGAAGTATGCCCGGCCCTTTACGTTCTACCTCTGCGTGCGATTTATCCCTTTGTACTTCCACATAAGTAGAGATTTAGTACCAGTAATTGTGGCAAAGTTAGGGGGCGGGGGTAGGAGAGTCAAAAGTTTAGCGGTAGATTATTTATAATACAAGCTGATGAGAATCACATAGAATAATGCATCGTTGCCTTTTCCAAAACTCGTATGAGATTTTCCAAGAAATCGGGAAGTAATGTTCATGGAACAATAGCCCTTCGATTTATTCTACTTTCGATTGGTAAAATTCCAAACACAAATAAAGCTTCTGCGCTCCAATTAATATGCCATTTAAGACATAAAAAATACAAATTTTCAAGAGTGTACCGATACGGCTAAATTTGTGCTTTTTTGAGCTTTTACTCACACGAACAACAGCCATACTTCCCAAGACAAAAGTGTAGCCGAAGAAAACCTTTTGCCAAAAAATAGCATCAAAGTCTAAAGCAGCTACTTGGCACTGGAGCTTTATTATTTATTCCACCCCCGCATCTGTTAAGTTAATCGAAAAATGTCAGTAATTCGGTGTTGCATTTGGACGTTGCTTCAGGATGTCAAAAGAGACTTTGACCTTCTGAGAAGCGAATATTGTTATCTGAATGTATGGAAAAACTCTACTCATTTTGACAACTCAGCTTGGCTGCAACATGGCCGCAATTACCAGGTTAGCAAAAGCAATCCTGGTATTAGCGCAAAAATTATTCTAGCAGGAGACATCTCTGCCACGTTTTGCGGAAACAGAGAAGGTCTCGAGCATTTGGAGAATGTGATGTGATTGCTAAATCGAGCTTAATAATGAACCGATGAAGCGATATTTGCAATTTTGGAGCTCTTTCTATATGATATGGAATCATCACCGACCTCAATGACGAGGGCGTGGCGGGTACAATATTCTGTAGTTCAAGCGGTCGTTGCGGTCGTTCGGCGAATAACGGTGGTTGCTTCGCATTTGTTGTTGGTATGCATTGTAGCGATTTGTGTATGGAATGTGCCAGTTGTTTTGTTGGAGACTTCTAAACATGGAGATTTGAGCGAACAGAGGAGAACGGTGTAGGAAAATCTTCACTCACATAACTAGAGTATTCCTTCATTTCATGTTCGTTAGAATGACTCTGGCTGGTGCGGCCGCGCCAGAAACAATTCTGGCAGAGCTGGTAGTTCGAGCATCGTTGGCATTTGTAGCGAAAGCCAGTGAATGATCGGACCTGTAATTGCAGTTGTATGAAAAAAATGGTATATTTCCCAAGTCTGCTAGGTCATCCCGAATAAAACCTTTTCTGATTCGAATTGCTCTTGCGTTCCTAGGAGACTTGGGGTACCATTCGATAAAGCAAAGCAAGCTCTACAAGTGAACACAAAGATTTGCCTAAGTCGTGATCCAAGTAAAGTTTGGAGCTAAACACACGAAAAAATTCTACGGAAATCCAACTGGACATCTTACAGTAGATAAATAGTAGTACTAAAAAAAATAGTATTTGCTGGGTTCCTTCCGAGACTCAAAATTAAGGAACAAAACTAGCGCGCAAATGCAAAAATGCCATTTTTCAAGTTGTTGATGTCAAACTTGGTATTTCTTGATTTTTTTCGGGTTGTTGATGTCAAAGTTGACATTTTTTGATTAAAAATCTGAGATATTACATTTATTTATGCTTGCAGTGTACAATCGGATATGTGGGAGGAGCTGGGAGGAGTTTGCCATTCTGAAGAATCCTTTTTTTTCGATTTCTAAGCGAGAAAATTTTTTTAGCAAATGCATGCATACAAACTACTAGGTAACTTGTGTATGACGACCAATTTGGAGTTCCGTAGTTTTCTGTAAAAAATTCTATTATTAAAAAAAAGAATTTTCGAATTCTGACTTTTCTGTGGAGCTTCCTTTGCTCCATCGATAAGTACCCTAGGTCTGCCACAAAAAACAGAAATAGGTTCATCCGAAAAAGTCACTTTTGGAGCTTAACAGATCAGAATTGGCTACAGGTCTTCGCTTTCTTATAGAATGTATTCAGGTTAAAAATCATCTTATTCAGTCAGTCTCCTGACTGAATAAGATGATTTAATAAGAAGACACATGAACAACCTTTGTTCAGATAAACAACTAATTTGATACCTGGCAAGCATCGCAGACTACGGGATGATAGACATGTTCGACTGAAGCCATACGGTGCAATAACGGTAACCACATTACACAAGGAGGACATGGATCGGACATGAACACATCTAGGAAGTTGTTTAACGTCACTCGTTGGTCCTTAAAATTGCTATTCATAAAAAGAAAAAGCAAAAGGAAATATACTCGCACCTTCAGAAAGCACTGCGTTACAGCGGCTTCAGAAAATCCAAACGTGGGCGCTTCGAACACGGCCGTAGTCAAGGCCAACACCTGGAAAACCAATCATTGCCAGCACTCTAAAAACAATCATTGCTGAGAAAAAGAAGTTGTGATGGAGTGGGAAAAGTGGAGAGAGTAGCTTTCTGCAATCTGATTGAGGACCTAATGAAATCTTATGATAAAACGATAAATTTCCTGTCAGGAGCTAAGCGAATTTTTCCAAAAAAGAATTTATCATTGACTGAGACACCAACAGAGTATCACTCACCTGCTGCATGAAATCCGTAAATTTGTCATATTCTAAAAATCCAGATGAGTCCGAGATTTGCGAAAACATATCTAAAAATTGATGTAAAATACCAAAAAGAATAATTTTCCATGGAACTATATAAAGCACTGCAGTATCGAAACCGTTAAAACTCTTTGAGCGTTTTTAAGGCTGTAGAAATCTTTTACACATAAATCAATTTTTTGTTTCCAATCTCATAACACCGTTCAAACTATATAGAACCGAGTACTGAACAATCAAAAGAATATAAACAAAAAAATTAACTTTTCATTGTGACATTTTTGCCTCATTTTCATATTCGAAAAGCTTTGAAAAACTTCTGAAAATATACTCACACCTCAATTTGTCCACTAATTTTCCAGCACATATTGTCGCTAAAGCTATTTTTATCGAAAATACGGTTAACCGTCCTGTATGTTGTCTAAATGAAATCGCATGTGAGGATTTAGTCAAAAGGAAATAAAACAGACTCACTTGTCATAAGTTCCTAATAAAAAACTAAGCAGTAGCGATATAGACTTGTCAGTGTCGATATGTTGCGAAGCGACAAGTCGCTTATTCAAATTGTGATAAATTGTCGTCAAAAGTAGCTCTATCCGTGAAGTTTTGATCTGAATATGATGAAAATAATCTAGTAAAAGTCTGACATTTGAAATTCAAAATATCTACAATAGTGTGTGGTATAGCAGATGTAATAAAAGTAAGAAAAAATCAATTTGAAATGCACCTGGTCTAAAATAGTTCCTTATACGCTGAGCTAAGTTCTCATCTATTTTCCTTCTAGTTTGATAGAACCATACACCAAGATTTATTTAAGGAGTAGGGGGAGGAAATGAGGTGCTAGATGAAACACCACTCTCGATTACTGTAGCACTACGGTAGAATTTTCACCAATTGCAGCAACGGATCAAGTGAACTTTATAAAAATTTAGAAAATAATTATTCTGATGCCGAGTGGAAACACTGGTGAGCATTGTTCATTTGATAAACCATTAGATATACTTGCAGTACTTTTTCTGAAAAATCTTGTGACCAATTTTTTGTGACTTTCAAAAATTTACAGTACACAAATAATAAAAGAGACCAGAATTTTTGAATATTACGAAACTTTTGACGATGAGTTAACCCAGAATGACGCGAATAGTGAACGTCCTATCGTAGTATTACATCTTGGAAAGGTTGGGAAACAGATTCGATTTGCAGCCAAATCCCAAATATGAAACCTTGGAACCACAAGGAAAAACAGTCATTGTTATCGAGCAATATTTACATTTTTGGCACTCTATATAGATGCATCTATAGCTCCCCATTTCGGCACAGCTTGCTATAGTTTCGGGCTATCAATTTCAGGGATATTTCAGCAACAGCCATATCGGATTACTCAGACACACGTTCCTATGCAAAAAGCCACAAGAAAAACTTGCGAAACATGGGGTTTATGCTTTCAAACACCTAAGCTACGAGATTATCAAATTTCCATAAATAATGCGACTATTAGTAATATATTTTAACTTCGAAAAAA